TCCTACGAAGCAGTTCTACTTAATTTTACTAACAGTATTCAAGTAATAAGCACTAATTGAAAGCTTGTTGTAGAATAATGTAGAAATATTTCAGTTTTTAGTTATTTTATAAAGTTGAAAAAAATGATTTTAATAATTGCCAAACATTAGTGAGAAGTAGTGTTTGGATTTTCATTAAAAAAGACTAAATAAATGAGTATTTGACTTCTTTTAACACCAATAATTAACTGTTTTGTTATTTAAGAACAAGTGAAAAAAACTGTGTTGTATTTGTACCTTTTAAATTCCATTTTGAGCAATTATTTGCTGACTAAAAGCATCATTTTTATTCACATTCAGTAAATATAAATTAGATGATTAATAAAATAATTTTAAACCATACAGTTGCAGAATTAGTTGTAGAATATGGTCATTCAGTATTTAAGAGCTGTGAAWTAAACAATTATTAAAATGTCTCTATATAATGCTTAATAATAAGCCTCATGTTACTGATAATTTGTGTACATTAATACAAAAAAATAAAAAAAAACATGCAGGATACATCAGTTTTCCCCCCTTTGGTTGCATAAGTTTTACAAGTCTGTCAGTACCATGTGCAGTAAGGTTGTTTTAGTGTTGACAGTTTTGTTTTTGTGATTTTGAATTGAGTTATAACAATATATAATGTGGTATTGATGAGGTTGACTTGATTTGAACTTGTTTATAAATAAAACAAAATTGAAAGAGCTGAATTGACAGAATAGTAACGCAATTCTATGGAGGACGACAGAACCTTTCATAATTGGAAATAAATATAGAAATATATAAATGGCTTGAAAAACTAAATGCATGGCCTAATAAAATAATAATGTGGCAAATTTAGCAACCAAACAATAAAAATATGCTAACTTAACCAACTTATTTGATTAAACAGTGCAACTTTAAATAATATTTATCATTTTTAACAGTGTTAATTTAACATTATCACAATCATTTCATTGTTTGTTTTATTTCCAGTCACATTTTTTTTACTAATTAAGGTTCCGTCCTCCATACAATGCAACTACAAGATAGTTTTCACAGCTGGTTGGAGAAAATGTCACAAGGTAGCACTCAAACTTTCCCACAGTTCATCGCTGGATTGTTGTTTTATGTCCTTGAGTGATAAAGCAATAAACTTCAATTAGTATGCTGTAAACACTGACAACAGGTCAACTTAACAGCTGGTGTCTAAAAAACATCCCAGCAATAAATCCCATAGTGAAGAAGAGCATTATGTTCGATTTGTAACTTTGTTTTCTTAGTTCGTTGTCGTGCTCTAACATTAACCTCACTCTGTTTTGTGGCTTAACTAATAAGCTCAAAAATGTAATTACATTAGGTTCATATGTAAATGCAAAACATTAACGTAGATGTGTAATTTGTATGGGGACTGGGACTCCAAATACTGTATATATGGATTTATTTTTGGTATATATATATTTTTATCATTACAATAAAGATTACCTAGCATGAAATACAGAACTGATAAGAGTAAAACCTCTCATTTCACCCAGCAATAGTAGAGGAAGGGTATCTGAGTACATCTTCTGTCCTCACAGATTCACATCATCTCCATCTTGTTTCTTTGTAGCTCTCAGCTGCTTTGTCTACCTTCTCTCTCACCTCTCCTCCATGTAACCTTCACTGCTACATTATTGTTCTATTCTCTTTAATAAATCGTTATCGTGTGGCCCTCTCATCATCCACAAAATCTCCTTCCCTGTAGTCTATCCTCCCCCCGCCTCTTTCCTTCCACCTCTCCCCTTTTCCTGCTTCCCTGGATAGAGGCTTTAATGAACCCATAAATTGGAGCAACACAGCAGTGGCTACAGGTCGGGACTGGGGGAGGGTGGTTGTAAGAGAGGGGCTGAGCCTGACAGAGAAGAGGAGACAGGTATAAAAGAGGAAACTGTGGACATAGTGGTGGTGGTGGTGGTGTGTGTGTGTGATTGGGGGGTTTAAGAATTTATTCCTGCAGAACAGATATGACTTCAGTTGGTGAAGAGACACACTGCAACAGGGTAAACGGAGGTGCAGGGATGGAGGACAAAGAGACTGAGAGAGGAAAAGGGCGAGGAGGTTCCATAAATTGGTTCAGCTATTAATTTGCACCAGGTAAGGTATAGCCTTGGAACATGCCATCCTAGTCAGATGAGAGGTCCTGTGGAAGGGAGACTGATCACAATGGCAGCAGATGGTGGAAGGAGGTGAGGCCGCCGGYGGCTTGGGGAGGGGCGTGAAGGAGAAGGGTGAGGCGTGCTACAGCATGACATGGAGGAAGGGAAAATGAGGCAGAGACAAACACAAAGCTCAAATGTACTGTGAAGCACAATCCACCTGCAGAAAACCAGACAAGGATGCTGAATTTAATCATTTTGTGAGAATACTCATCAGTTTGCCGCGTTTATTGGGCTAATACGTATTGGCAGCACTGTAATATTCATTAGCAGATAAGATTCCACTGCAAATGAAATGTTTAAGAATGGGGGGGGGATTTTAATTTCTTTTACATCACAAACAAGTTTGCAAATGGCTCTGGATATTAGATAATGTATGTTTGCTGAAGCATAAACTTGAGAGTGATGGTGTATCTCTGCTACATAAATGTTTCTATGTAATTAAAATGCAGGGAGAATGACTTATTTATTTGGATTCCGTCTCCATAATCACGTCTCGCAAACACGTTTTCTCATTTCGTGACTCAAACACCCGGTTTGATAAGTTTTCACAGTACAGTTGACACCTGAAGCTAATGATATGAGCGGCAACAGGAAGGAAGAGGAGGCAGGATGGGGTGGAGCGGGAAACGAGAACTGTTGGCTGTGGTGCTCAATTTGCCATGCTGAAAAGCATTAAGCTGTACAGAGGCAAAACTGTGCTTAATACCATCAAAGCAAAGAACATAGGAGAAAGGCAAATATATAAATAGCAAAAAAATAAATAAATAAATGAAGAGGAGAGAGACAGCCATGCAAAATATCAAGAACTGCTCACAAAGAACAACAACAAAAAAAATCATCAAAGCTGACTTTCAGCAAAAAGAAAAAAAAAGAAGATCGTAGAGCTGAAATTGAAAATGAAACTCATAAACAGTGAAACAAGCTGCAAAGGTGTCTCATAAAGAAAAATAACAACAATAATAATAATGATCATACAGGAAAAAAAAACAGCAGGAAGCATTGTTTTGAAATGTGACGTCCTGTTGCAGTTACCTGAGCACGAACATAAAAATATATAAACTGATTTCAGGAAATTTTTAGTTCAAGACAATCTTTATGTTGCTTCACCATTCCTGGTGAGGCTCATCACACACCTGCTCAGGTAAAAGCAACTGGGGTGGGGGGGTCGAGACAGCATGTTGTGATGCTGAACTGCAGGCGTGCTGTCTGAAGTCTCTGCCACCATTGTGCTTGGATCTACCTACTGGTGCCTTGCTGCTTCCAGCTGACGTGGTGTGTTCATCCCACACACAGGGAATACTGAAAAATGTTTTGCGAAAAGACTAAACCACTGATTTTACATGTGGGTAAAAAATACAAACTCAGACACGTTGAAAAATTGTTTGGTGACGATATGAATTGGTTAACATTTTTCGCATGAGAACCATAAACTCAATAAAATCAAGAACGGTGTGATGTTATTGAGTTTGTGGCTCTTATGTAAAGCTTCTAGGGATATTACATTTAATTGAGAATCGATCAATGATCAATTACAACTGCTTAAAATATGTATTGATTCATAAAAATAAATGAATCGATTTCCTTAAGTTAAGTCTTTAGGACAAATTCAGTTTGATACTTGATAATTTTGGTCACAAAATGATTTGTGGCGATTTATTTTGAAGTTCTATTGTGTAACTTAGATGATGAGTTACAGTTTGACACAAAGACTAAAATGCTGATGTTTACAGAAAAAAACATATTTAGTTATAAAAATGGCTACAGTTCATTTTGTTGAAAAAAAAAACGTAATTGTGAATCGAATAAGGGCTTTAGTATATTGTCGCATTGCAAAAACATGAATTACATCATTACTAATTTTTTTTACTTGTTTGAATGTATTTTGTAACCACTTGCAAAAACAACTTGTCTGTTTTTTCTCAGCTACTGAATTGTTTGAACAAATAAAATGTTCTGTTTTTGTTTTTTTTTTATTTTTATCTCAGGCTGGATTTACTCCACAGGAAGATGGCGATGAGATAAATCATTTTGTGTGAAAAGGTATTTTCACAATAGATGCTGCTTCTAATTGCCTAAACCATTAAAGTTTGCAGGAACACGTTGCATGTTGTTTTAATARCTCGTATTATAGGTCTGCCTGTTTTATTATAATGAATTGGCAGCACTCCATAGATCTTTATATTCTCTCCTTCGATTTGCACGTTGACCCTCTCCTCTCCTCCCCTTCTATCTGTTTCACTCCGACTCATTTATCCGGCGAGCCGTCCTTGAGGCGGTACAGCATTAGGCAGGTTGTTAACACGGGAGAAAAGAGCGTTCAATGTCATGTCACCGTGTCGCAAAGGATGACAGAGCCGGCGACTAGGCCCTCTTCTTCAGGAAATAAATACATCGCCATCTTCCTTTTTAGAGTGTAATGGTCTGGATATTACATCTCCTGTGGGACATTACAGTCCACGGATAATAAATCCGTCCGGCAAAGTGTGTGTGTGTGTGTGTGTGTGTGTGAGCGTTTATGTGTGCATACATGCATCTTAATGAGCGCTGAATGTGTATGTGCTGGTACATGTGTGCCTTGTTTGCTACTTTTCTTTGGAGGGTTTTACGTGCACAGCATGAGGCAATCCTCCCCTGGAGAGAAAGCCATCCGCCATCTCTGCACCTCGTCAGCTGGGAGCAGCCAGGCAACAGTAAATCTCAATTACTTAAACCCCTCCCTTCCACTTCACATTCCCTCCCCAACTCCCACGGGCGACAATGGACCAAACTGACTGCTCGCTGTTGCGTTCCAAGGCTTACCATTGGCTTCGGCTTGAGTCTGAGAGGGCACGGCCACGTACGGGTCCTCCCCTTTGTCTGAGCTCATGGGGGGGTCCTTCCGCTCCACCATGCGGCCCCGCCCCAGGGGGCCTTCTGCAGCCTCGGGGAGGGCTGAGGTGGGAAGTGTGAGGGTGTGGTGATGGTGGTGGTGCTGGTGGCCTGCCGGACACAACACAGGTTAACTTACGCTCCGCGCACGCAGGCACGGGCCAGCCGGGTGCTGTCTCACACACACACACACACACACACATACACACACACATCCACAGGTGCACACGACATTCGCACAAACACTCAGACAGCTGCTGGGCTGTGTGAGTCAACAGGGTGTTTCCCCTCACGACCTTCAGCAGCTCATTAGCAAACACGTGAGCGTTTCTAATGATCAACATGTTTCCGTTTTCTGTCACCCTCTGCAGCTCCTGCTTCCTCGCCGTCCCTCCTCCTGCTCTGATTGACATGTCAGATCTCTGCCGGGATCTGTCAGCTCACAATTCCTCCACAGTAACCACAGGGTGCCTATCTTTTATATGTAGGACAAAAGACAAACTTCCTCCCCATCGAGAATTCAGCCTGTGTCTTTGCTCCGACTACAAAGTGCCCCTAATGATGTGCTTTTTTCCCCTCTTGATATTGTTTTAAAGCTTTTCTTAATCAAAATTTTAAATCAGTTTAGTTGCGCTTTGATGTACAACCAGAACTTCTCCAACTTTAAGTTTCAGAAGCTGCATTGAAGACTGGTTAACAGGGAGAAAATGAATCATTACTCCGAAGTACTTCTGATCATTTCTCAACCTGAAATCCCAAAAGATTTATGGTTCCAGTGCTTCAGCTGTGAAAAGTGGCTGTTTTTCTGCGTCGCATCAGATATCTTTGCATCGGATTGCCTGTCACACACAAAAAAGGTGTCATCTTTGTCTCAGTTTAGAAGTTATTCTTTTTTCTGACATTTTCTAGGGTAAATGATAAATTGGTCTCTGGTGATATAAATTCACATGTATTTATTCATGTGTGGGTGATGGATCATATACATCATGTCTCTGTTCATATCTAAACATTGCTCACACAATCAGTTTGTCTTTTTTCAGGTCCTCATTGTCTTCCATGAGCAAATTTTGCACTTTTTTTTTTGTCTGGCTTTTTTTATTTTTGAACCATGATAATCACATTAGCATCCCACAAGCTTAGAGTTAAGCCACCATACACCAGTTTGCTCAAGCCATATTTTCTCTTTAACTCAACGTATTTAAACCACATGTGAAAGAGAGAGAAAAAAAGCTTTCYGCGATGGTGAGTGACAACACTTTTATCAACATCCTCTTGCGGAGCTCAACCCCCAGTTTCCATTTTGACAAGCTCTCGCTCCATGGAGGAGGTGACAGCACGTGAGAGTGTGTTTGTTTGGGGATGTGCACACTCTATATGTGTTTGCGCTCGTGTTTGAAGACGGGGAGGCAACGCTGGCGGACTGCACATAATAGATCCCCGCACAGAACACCACTCAAAGCCTCCTCCTCCTCTGTGTGGCGTGGCAATCATTAAAATGATTTATTTAACTACTGGCCCAAGGCTGAGAGATTAGTGTGACAGGCCTATTTTATAATTCATTCCCCCACCACCAGGGGAAGTGCAATTCAGGCAGATGACACACACACACTGAGAGCTCAGAGTCTCAGTGCACCTCCACAAATCAGGAGGGGGTGGGGGGGGGGAATTGCCAACTGATGCACAGCTCTCTTTTAACAGATTAAAAGAGAGGATGGTGTTAAAGTTTTTGAGAATTTAGATGGAGCAAGTATTCATCTTATAAGATAGAGGGTCTCGGTTTGGGCGATGTTGTTGTAAACTGTCTGTGTGAGTTTGTGCATGTGCCTGAAAACACACAGCCAAGCCTGTGGGAGCATATTCATCACTGCATGGGAGGGAGAGAGGGGGGTGACTGTGCTTTTCGATGACCCTGGATCTCCAAAAAGAGGGAGAATCGCAGTGGGAGTAGAGCAACAAGAGGGTGGGTGAAAGGGCTTTCTGGAGAGACTTCAAAAAAAATCTATTCTTGTCATTCTGTATGGATCTGATCGTTTTGATCTGGCAGCTGCGAGGCACTGTATCTGTGTGTGAAAATAAAGGTGGGATTGCATTTTTTCTTATTATGATCATCATTCTGAGAGTGAAAGAAAAAAAACATTGTATCAATCACCTGGGGATTATTCTTGTCACTGATTAGGAAATAAACAAGAAGCTGCATGTGTATCCAACAGCAGCTCTTTTGAATCAAAGGAATGTGATGCAGATTTTTGAAAGTAGGGTTCTGTGGAAAGGTAATGGGCAGCTCTTTGAATTGCCTCAGTTTGGAGACAAAGATTCTGACCAGACTGATGAGCTAACGGCTAGTCTGAGAGAGCTCAAGGCTAAAGTTGCTCTTTTAAAACAATTCTAATCTCAAAAGATTCATATATGTTTACACAAACACTGTTTTATAAACCTTTACACTGACATCGCTTTCACAATACATCATTATTTGAGCAGAAATCGTTTGTTTTCCTCTCAGAAGTGTTCCAGGCTGCACAGGAAGTGCTACAGCTAGCTGTTGCTGCTACTATTTAAGCTTGCAAACAACCACAAAATTCTATATATATAATCAGGTAATGTAAAACTGACAATGAAACAAAAATTTATAGAAGTATTTGAATGAACAGCATTACAATTTTTGAGCACTTTGTTTTTGGCGCTGTTTGGATTAGCTGTTAGCTCATTAAGCTAGTCAAACTTAAACTTCATTTCTCAAATCAAAGAGCTGTTTACAAGAGATAACAGGTTAATTATTTTACATTTCCAAAGAAACCTTCTCTGTATCGACTCGTGGCTCGTTCAGTGCACACAGTGAGGAACTTCCTCACTATCAAAGCCTTTCGCCACCAACAACCAGATCCATCCAATTAACAAAGCAAAGGTCATGGCTAATCAAAGCTATTGCACAGGGGAAAGGAGGTTCTGGGGCTACAAAGGTGAGGAGGAAGAAAAAGGCCTAATAAAACTAAAAGAATCAGGATGAACGTCAAAGGCGAAGGATTTTTAACTCGACCTTTATTCTAAACAGCAAAGGGGCAAGATAAGAAGCGTGAAAGTGACCGACTTTCATTACCTTCATAACTGGAAGGGACGTCTATCAAAAGGAAGAAACGAGACCAATTCAGTTAAAACCCCAAGTCATTAATAACCCGTCTTTGCACATGTGGGAGGAGTTTTAATTTCCCTGAGAGCTGATGAATGACTGAGTAGATGAAGAGGTGTGGCTGGAGTTAAAGATTTAAGGTAAAGAGATGGAGCTTCCATCTCATGTGATTGCCTGTGTGGGATACTTACCATTCAGTGCCACAAATGTATCTGAAAGAGAAAAAGGGAGACCAGTTATTGTGTGCAATAAAAGTAGCCTATATGCTTTAACATGATGAAATGCCACGACTTTTAAAGCCATTCAGAATCGACCGGCAGCTCGATATTCTCCTTCACTTCTAATCAAAACGATTTTAATCTGGCCCCTAAGTTTGACAAAGGTACAGCAATCTGTGTTCCCGTCACTAAAATTACAAATGGAAGAGGAGGGAAAGTGAACTACCTTTATTTACAGGGTCATTTGCTGAGTGATTTAATGTTGAATAATTCACAAGTGTATTTTGCAAACTGTACAGCTCAGTACAATATCAATACTGGTATTGCATTTTTAAAATCAAGCAAGAAACTATCTATAAAAATAAACAACAGTAATTAGTTTTACTTCTACTCCTTTTTGTGCAATTATCTGTACTTTCTACTCCTTATATTATAAAAATGTAAAAACTACGTAATTTCTATCCAGCTAGTCATTGTTAAAATGCATATACTGGGTCATGAGCCGATCCAATCCACCTGTGTGACACAAATCATGTCCCACTCCAGCAGGATATATACTGTACATATACATGTATAT